AGACTTCCTGCTTTTTTTTTTAAGATAGTTTCCTGTCCTGATATGTATATCTATCTTCTATTTTTCTATTTCCAGTTAAATGATATAATTTTTTCCCTTTCTATGTACACCATGTTCAGATATTTTTGAGTGCTATAGTCTCTCTAGGATACAACTGCTATATTAAAAGTGTGTTGGGTCAGTTTTAAAAAACTTTCTGTTATCTTGCATTACAGCCAAAATGGTTTTGACTAAACTGGACAGGCATGACATAGAAAATAGTGAAACAGTTACAGTGGTGTTTTGTTTTGTACAGGTTTTTTTAATGTTTTAATTCCCTGTTATTTGAACAAGATCAGACAAAACTGGTAAGAGAGAGTTAAATTGTCCTGTATTGTATTCTGTTGCAAACCTCTCAGTTCAAAAGGAGTATTAATAAACCTTCATTTCTTTCAGCTGGCTGTACTGAGAAGTTAATTTTGCCAATGCATTTGGTGAAAAAAACATTAGTTTTGTTGTTGATGGGAAAAGAGAAAAGTAACAGATAACTGTAAAAGGTCAAGAATTGCAACAGGGGCTCAGGTCTGCATTGCTCCAGCCTGTAGTGCTGCATGGGGTTGTTGTGATCCAAGTGCAGGACCTGGCCTTGTTGAACCTCTTAAAATTGTTCCCAGCTCATCAATCCAGCCTGTCCATTTTCCTCCGTAGAGCCTTCTTACCATCCAGCACATCAACACTTGCAGCCAACTTCCTGTGATCTGTGAACTTAGTGAGAGTGTACTTGATTCCCTCATCCAGCTCATTGATAAGGATATTAAACAGGACTGGTCCCAGTAAGGAGCCCCTGAGAACTCGTCATTCATGATCAGTCACCAGCTGGATTTAAGTCTATTCTTCTCTCTGGGTTTGGCCAGTTGTTTGCCCAGCAAAAAATACACCTGTGTAAACAGGGATAGCCAGTTTCTCCAGAAGAATCTTGTGGGAAACTGTCAAAGGTTTTACTGAAGTCCTTAGCATTTCCCCTCTCCTCTGCACACATCATGATGCATGTAAAGGAGTACAAGATTGTGGTGAAAAGTGATCTTGAAGCTAATGGACCAGATGACACCAGAGATGAAAAAAGGCCCCAGACTTACCAAGAGCTCATGCATGGTAAGTTAGTGATAACAATGTAAACTCAGGAGGTGGGAAAACCTGATTTTTAGGGGAAAAAAAAAAGAGATAAGTGTGTAACACGTATTAAAAAGCCATACATTAGTAAAGTTGAAAATAACAGAGAACTGCAGACTAATGGAGAAAAAGCTATGTGTGTGAAGAGTGGTTAACAATGGACTTCAGCGAGCAAAGATGAAATAATCACTATTACCATCATGATCTCCTGACAAAGAGTCAGAAGAAATTGTCACCGTGATTGCCTTCCTGGAGAAGACACCAGGAGGCTCACAAATTGTCGTAGCCAAGCTCCACAATCTTTTGTTGGTACATAGGAACATGGAAGAGTGAATGTAAAAGAGAGAAAATGTAAGAGATATTAGGACAGACAACTTTTCACTGCAACAATGTCTAAGAGATCTACTTGGTACTAGTAAGTACTTTAGACTTTGAGAGTTAACATCATCATAGCTGGTTAAAGCATTTTGATTAAACGGTTGAAATATTACATAGCGTAAGAATAAATTGTAAAAATTTATTATGTAATAATAGGTTATGTTGTGTTTTAAGCAAACAAAATGACATATTCAGTTTCTGATCTCATAATTAATTTTCTTCTTGGTCTTCTGAAGCCTTTCAATTACTGCCACTTAACATTGAAGAAATTACAGTAAAGACTGATGAATTACAGCATGTTTCAAATATAACCAAAGGAAAGAGGTAGAACAAGTAGTTTAATTTTTTAAAAGAACCCTAAATCTTTAAATCAATGGCTTTGAAATTTTATATTACAAATAATTATTGTCAGGATAAAAGATAGTATTATTCAGAAGATAATCAGAATACAATTTTCATTAAAATGTCAAGAACAACCCAGTAGTTGTTCTTGTGAATATGAAAGGACTTAACACGAATTATTCTTTTCAAATGTCTCTGATGTTTGAGAGAGATTACAGCTCATACGTTAAATGTTTATTAAGTTAGATTATTTAGATATAAATTAGTGTAGAATCACTAGAAATAAGTAGACACTGTATATTACAGTTTTCATAGAAACTCTTTCCATTTACATGCAGTATGAACAATGTTACAATGTTGTAAAAACTGCTTTAAAAAGAAAAAAGAAATTTTTCACTGGAGGCAACATTATTTCTGAGCACCTGTATGACTACAGCAAACTTATGGCTTTTAATATGTTGAGAGCTATGGAAGTTTCTGATAGTTAACTGTAAAAAACTCTGAATTTTTTCATCCCCAATGACACTAGCATTTATGTTAATCATCTAGTAATTGAAAGCGTATAATGAGGCAAGTATATACTGAACATTTCACTCCTCATGTTTTAATTTTTTTTTAATTTTTTTTTGGTTGAAGAATGCAAAATCTATTAGCTCAAATTAAATGGTGTTGTGGTTTAACCCCGGCCAGCAAGCAGACACCACATAGACACTTGCTGACTCCTTCCCCAATGGAATGGGGGGAGAAAATAAGAGAGGTAAAAGTGAGAAAACTTATGGACTGAGATAAAGCTGTGCAAAACAAAGCAAGGAATTGACTCACTTCTTCCCATGAGAAGGCAAGTGTTCAGCCATTTCCAGGAAAGCTCTGGAAAAGGTCTCCATCACACAGAATGGTTCCTTGGGAAGATAAATGCCTCTACTCCAAACATCCCTACTATTCTGCCTTCTTTCCCCCAACTTTATATACTGAGCACGACACCATATGTTGTAGAATATCCCTTGGGTTGGTTGAGATCAGCTATCTGAGCTGTGTCCCCTCACAACTTCTTGTGCACCCCCAGCTTCCTCGCTGATGGGGGGTGGGGGTGAGAAACAGAAAATGCCTTGGTGCTGTGTAAGCACTGCTCAGTGATACTTAAAACATCCCTGTGTTATCAACACTATTTTTAGCCCAAATCCAAACCTATAGCCCCATACTAGATACAGTGAAGGACATGAGACATCAGCAGTTCTAGTTTTATTGTCTCAGATTAATAGAAGATATTTCTTTTGAAACCCAGATTACAGACACACAGACATAAATAAACCGAACAGCTTCAACTACTTATAATTAAACTAGAATTCAGTAACTTTATGTTTAGGTAATGTTTAATAATAATCTTAAAGAAGCATTTGATTTTAAAATTTTTGGCCTACTTGTTGTTCTATGTGCGGCCTGAATAAAGAGTTGTTTGTCCGTACTGTTGATAGCTTTATTAAGCATAAAAATAGTATACATCAAATATTTACTCCTGTTCTAGTAAACAATTTCAGACTTGCTCAAGTTTAGCCCTAGAAATATATTTCTTAGGAAATACAGGAAAGAACAATCCTCTGTCTGCTTTGAGTAGGTATTAATTTTTAAATTACCAGTTTACTTCTCTGTTTCAATTCCAATAACTTTTTGTTATTAGCAGACCTATTGTCACCTGTCTGTGCTATAAAGACTGAATAACTTTGCTACATTCATAGGGCAGGGGAAGGATCTTGCTCATATTTCACAGCACTTTTATTAGGAGCAGAAAAACAGCAATAAAAATAATGATGACAGTATCACAAAGTGAATGAGGTAGCTGTGGACCAATCTAGTCAACTACAGCAGGGTGCTCAGGGTTGTGTTCAGGGAGGTTTTCAATATGTCTGAAGCTGAACACTCCACAGCCTCTCTGGGCAACTTTCTTCCAGGATTTGACCACCCACACAGTAAAAATCATCCAAACTTTATAAAGTTTTAGTGAAAATCCTTGCATTTTTATTTGAGCCCATTGGAAATGGTGTAACAAGGATTTGCTCTATCACCTTTTCAGTGACTGAGGTAAGGCTTACTAGTTTGAAGTTCCTTGGATACTTCTCCTTACTCTTTTTGTAGATGGGAGTGTTGTTTGCTTTCTTCTGGTGTGAGTTCTATTCCATCCTATATTGTTACTCATTTAAGGGTCTCCTCTCCAGATTGGATAGCCTATTAGAAAAGATGCTTTTACCTAGGTTTATCAGGTGGATTCTGTCTCTTCCTAGCAGTTCCTCAAAGTTCAAAGCCTGTCCCATGGCTGTAAAAGCTAAATCCCTCTGTTAGAGATGGTGTGGGAACCACTGAGCCCAGTGGACTCTAAGGACAGAAGAATGCTCCTTCCTGGCTTCTGAAGCCCAGGCAGCTGCAGGCTGTGTCCCCAGTGTTCTTTCCATCTCAGTCCCAAGGATGTGTCTGAAACTGTTCCTGCTTGCACATCCAGTCAGCGCAAAGGCTGCAATGGTATCTCAGAGAGGCACATACACACACATATGTATACACACAAGTGCATAGGTGACATTAACATAACTGGCCACACAGACTCACGCAGGGCACTGCCTTTAGCAGCATCCATGTACAATGATACCAGAAATCATATAAAACTTAGGTACAGATAACAAAGTTCTGTTCCTCTCACTTATTGGAATGAGGTTTGCAAGTGAAAAGTCATGTCCTTTCTTTCTTGATTCACTATACAAACACCTTCACAGATCCCTCAAATATCATCACAGCCTCTAATTTCATCTAATACTCATGCCTAGAGGCTGAGCTGCCTTACTGACTATGCAGGTCTTCTATTTTCTGGACAGTCCAGCTTGATGCTGCACACTCAGAAGCACTTCTGTAATCACGTATTAGTACAATCTCTCAGTCTCCCTATTATCCATTCTCAAGTCAGAACACTTCTTCAGTCTCCAGTGAGGGTTTACTTTTACTCTAATATTTTTAATTCTCCAAATAGTATCCAGAAAGTAAAATTCTCTATCATGATTAAATAAAGTAGAATTAAAACAAAATAGTGCACTCTCACTGCATAATTCCCATCTTGAACACTCAAATTGTCTTATCTCACATTATAGGTCTCTTGAGTTCATTACTTTGTCTCTGATAACAGATGGTGTTTTCACAGAGTCATTTCCATAAGGATTATGTAAGACAACAGAAATAATATCATGACGGTAAAGTGACTAATATTGCAGTTCCAATAAAATGATGTGAAATTTCAGCTCTCACATTAAAGGCATCAAAAACACTTATTCAGCACTCGATTTGCTAAAATTTGTATAGGCTGAAGAGTTACTGGAAAACTGGTAAAGGTGATTAAGCGGATAATTACCAAAGCCTTTCCTTATGCTTAACCAATGGCATAAAAGGCATGGATGTTGTGAATAAACTATTAATTCTTAGTTTTCCCTTAAGTCTTAGTAAAGGGTTTGTAAGTTGGCTAATAAAACATTAGACAATGTTCCAGTAAAAGATCTAGAGAGAAGTAGAATCACCTTTGTTTGTTATATATATTGTAGTCTAGTCCAAATAGAGGGTACTACCAAAGTGGTGATATTCTGCAAGATTATTTAAAAGACAAAAATGGTGTTTAGGATATGATGAGGCGAAGGAAAATTATTAGTTGTTATATATAGTTCATTATAAATAACTCTATTAATTTTATATTGATGATCTATCACAGGAAAATGCTATTATCTACTTAATTATTTCAAGATCAGAGAAGTGACAGCACATCAAAATTTAAAATTGAGTGAAAGTAGGAACGGCAATTTTGATCAGAAACCCAAATCATGAATACTGCCTGACAGAACTAAAGATGACTTCTTAATGACTGACACAGCAGAAAGAAAATACCCAAATGAATATTGAAGGAACAGTGTTCAGGCAAATATATCTGGCCTTGATAATGAAAGAACATATAGGGCCAAATCCAATTGTCTTTCTTATATGGTTAATTCTGCTGTGGTTAATTTGTCTTCCGTGTCATTTTTTTTTTGTCAATATCCCTATTTAATTACTGGGTAAGAATATTTCTCACAAAGGTCTGAAAAATCCCTTTGGACATTGAAACAACTATGTTTTCTATAAGTAGGGACAATAATATTGAGGCATATCATTAATGGCTTATGTCTAAGGTCATAACTATTATCTCTTAATAGTAAAAATACCTAGTTTCTGTTCATCTGAATTCAGCATAAAGACTCTTGCTTTACTGCAATTATTTAAAGAAAGAAAAGGTTTTATGTCCTCATGCATAAAATAAGTAATCTGGCAAATCAAACACTAGACAGTGAATCTTTTGATTATAATAAAGTATAAAAGAAACATTTGGATACCCTGACCATCAAATGAAAAAGTATGAATTTCCAGAATTACACATAAAGACCTACTTGAGGCTAAAGACTATAAACCCTTGGGCAGAAGTTAGATACTAGCAGTCACTGTTCTAATGTTTGTGGTTCTTCCCTCTATCCTGGCAGGGTTGCCATTTCTCATGACTAAGTCATAGGATTAAATCACAAGGAAAGAAAAGCAAGATGATCTGCACAGGTATTGATAAAGGTTGTTGAGCAGAGATCATGAGGAGTATGAGGAGGTAAATTAAGTTGGTTATGTTTTTGGTGAAAATAATGATGAACCTACAACACCCAGAGACTATGAAATTTTAAGTGACATCCAAAAACCTTCAGCCTCAGTACTATTCCATTTTCAGATAGGAACTGTGAAATAAATAGGAAAAATTATCCTTTTGATATTGTTCCACTTAAAGAGGAAAATCCGGTCTCTACATTAAACAAATTCATCTGATGTCTGGTGTACCAAAATGCTTCAAAAGTTCTCCTGAGAAGTTCATTGAGACACAAATATAATATAACCAGTATGAATTTCTACTTTTCAAATTGATTCAAAAACCCACCAGCTGTAGCCCAGTGTTTTTTGTTAGTAGAGGGCATGAGGTTGTTGTGGCCTGAGTTGATCTGAACTTGTCTTATCTGTGTTAAAAATTGTGTTGCAGTTAGGAAATTTCTGCCTTAATTGTTTTCAGTTTGGTTCAGTTTATAAGTTTATAGGCAGGGTAATTAATCTCTGTAGAATGAACTAGCTGTCACCCTAGAACAAAACTGCAGAGAAATGAGATTTTACCATAGGTCTTAGATGGTCCCATATATTATTATGATCAATCTTGTTACTTTAGTGGTGCAATTTTGTGAATCAGGTAAAAACAGTTTTGTTGATAACAGACAGAACTCAGTATTTAGAAAGCAAAGACAGACAACATAATCAGACTGCATTAAGCAAGCATGAAAATGAACCTAAGTGGCCCAAAACCAATGAGCAAGAAAGTCTCAACATGAACTCTTCAAGATTCAGGACTCATGACTTTGATAACTTTGAACTTTGAACAGGTTACAGCTGTGTTTTGAAGAACATTATTGTCTCTAGGATCTGTCTCTTTTTTTTTTTTTTGGTAGTGGAATAGTCAAGCATAAAACCCATCAATAAGAAAGGACTTTTACTTCAAGTATTTGAGAGGGTTTCAGAAAGTAGCATCTGGACTAAAGTAGCAGCTGGACTGCAAAGCAGTACTTCTGGGTAATTAGTAGTATAGAGGATATAGAAATTTCAGTAAGACAGACTTAAAAGTTACTGTTTTCTTTACATATCTGATATCTATGAGTTTCATAGGTTTTAAGCATTTGAGATTGTTAAAAAAGATTCATAATATATTAAAATCTTCAAATTTCCGTTACTATATAATCCGTAAGAACATAACGAAAATAAATAAATAGTCCTGGGGTTTCCTTTTTTCCTAAGGAAGTTAATTTTGGTCAATCATCTGTATTTATTTAACCTGCAGGAAGAAATTTTCTCATTTCAAGTTTAAATCAGATACTTGATGTATGGAATTCAGTTGTTTGTTTACATAGGTTGCAATTTACTAACATTTTAGGTAAGTTAAAGTTACTATTTTAGGTAAGTTAAAGTTACTAACATTTTAGTCAAGTAAATTAGACCAATGACATAACCTAATTTATAAATCCTTATTCTGTTTGGCTCTGTGCTAAAAATCAAATGAACATCAGGGTTTTTTCAAAGCAGTAAAAAATACCAGTGTATAGTATTAAAATATTCTGATATATCTTGTGTCACTGCTTGTAGGATCATACTGCTGGCTTATTTAAAATGAGCCATCAGTTACACATGGAGACAATAACAAGCACTTCACTGACAGCTTTCTGACCCAGATAACCTTAAAATGAAATATTAGAATACTGAATGGAAAAAGTTATATGGTCTGATTATTTTTATGTATGACCTAATTTATTGACTAATGTGTAATAATAACATATGTATGAACGTTTTTTTATTCTTTGTATAACTAATGACATTCTGGAGGTTTTGATTTTGTTGTGTTTTTAATTGTTTTCCAAAAAGATTTATTTCACTTTACTTACTTATAGATTTAGACTCATTTTTTAAATATATCATCAGAGATGATCTAACTGATGGAGATTAAGAGTTGTGGTTAAATGGTTAACATCTTCTGTGAGTAGATAGCTTACAAGCAGGGTGTATGCCACTGAAGAGGAAAGGGCAGTTTTTGGTGGCCGTGGTTGCAGCATTGTTTTGACGTCTTTATTAGACAGTAATTGCATGGAATAAATATTTGGGAACCAATTAAAAGAGGTCTAACTATTTTCAGATGTGTTTTGAATATGCCTGGTGAATTAGCCACATCTTAGAAATAAGAAAAAAAAAAAAGATTAGATATACAGAAAACCGAGTTCATATCATAATGCAGCATATCAAGAACTATGTATATATGTTTTTAGGCATTTCTGCAGACTTGCTTACTTTCAAGTGCTTAGAATACTCTCAGATTGAATAAGAAAGTGATCAGTATGTATTTTACTCCTGAGGTAAGTAAATACTTGGTGTGGGCCTAAACCATCTTGTCCGGGAGCTGCTTTACGCTGATGACGCCGCCCTTGTTGCCCACACAGAAGCAGCTCTGCAGCATTTAACATCCTGCTTTGCAGATGCTGCTGAGCTCTTTGGGCTGGAAGTCAGCTTAAAGAAGACTGAAGTTCTCCATCAACCTGCACCTCAGGAAGTCCTCCATCATCCCCACATCACCATCGGCCAGTCAGAACTCAAATCAGTCCAACAGTTTAATTACTTAGGCAGCCTCATCTCCTCAGATGGTAAGATCGACGGGGAGATAGATAATAGGTTAGCGAAGGCATATAGTGCCTTTGGAAAACTCCATAAAAGAGTATGGCGTAATAAGCACTTGAAGAAAAGTACCAAGATCAGTGTTTACAGAGCCATAGTGCTGTCTACTCTTTTATATGGTTCCGAATCATGCGTCATCTACCGCCACCACCTGCGTCTCCTAGAACGCTTCCATCAACACTGCCTCCGTACAATCCTGAACATCCGCTGGTCAGATTATGTGACCAATACATCTGTTCTTGAACAGGCAGCAATCACAAGCATTGAGGCCATGTTACTGAGAACGCAACTGCGATGGGCAGGGCACGTCTCCAGGATGAAGGACCACCGCCTCCCTAAGATCCTGCTTTATGGTGAACTTGCCTCCGGCTGCCGCAAGAGAGGAGCTCCGAAGAAAAGATACAAGGACTCCCTGAAGCAACAACTCAGCCTCGGGCATATTGATCACCATAACTGGTCTACTCTGGCCTCCAATCGGGAGGCCTGGAGACAGACCATTTATAACGCTGCTGATGCTTTTGAGAAGGCACGCAGGATCACTCTTGAGGAGAAAAGACAACGCAGAAAGAATCGAGCCTTGCAGAATATACCATCTAAGGAGTCTTTCTGCTGTGTCTTTTGCAACCGGACGTGTCTATCTCGTATTGGCCTTTTTAGCCACCAACGCGCTTGCATGAAAAATGGGTAGAGCCCTTCCCAAATCTTCGTTCGCGAAGCCTAGCCATGATGATGATGATGATGATGAAGTAAATACTTAACTTTTTGTTCTTTCTACTAAGCTTCTAAGAGAACACACTAAATCTAAATCTCAGACAATCAGATAAAAAAACCACAAAACCAAAAAAAAAACAACTACTTTGAAACCTAAGTACGTTATATCAATTAATTTCTTTGGGTCACATTTTGGACCTGCCCTAAAGCAAAACCCTAAAGCAAAAAAAACCAAAAAATTTTCAAATTCTGAAGTGTGCTAAATTGATGATCTCTAAGTCAGGTCTGCAGTAAAAAACTGTATCCAACAGAGTTCAACATATCTGCTTTACCATCAAGACTTTTAGCAACTTTGGATTTTTAGCCAAGGAAAGGTCTATCTGCAGTCAGAATGTTCTTACATACAATAATATGCTCTATTATCTTGTCAAAAGTAGTTTTTCAAACATAAAGAGTATCTTCCTCTGGCTCTTAATGCAATACATTCTTTTTTTCAGATTTCAAAAGGTTACAAGGATTTTCTTAAACTTCTAGATCTCTGTCTACTTCTAAGCCTGGATATCTGTAACCTAAGCTGTTTCCCTTGATGTTTGGCATCTGAAAGCTCTGAGAATTCATCTTCTATTTGGAGCTTGGCTCATCTCTAAGTCTCTGAGGAAAAGCTATCTGGAGCTACCACTGCCAAAATTACTAAGCCTCTCACCTCAGATCAAACTCTGTGGCTTTCTTTAAATTAACAGAATTAGCCATAAATGTGGGAATGTTCTTTAAAGCTACATGAAAACAACATTCTGTTCAGATCCACTAATGCTTCTAGCAGCAACAACGTTGACAATGAGTTCAGTTTTACTAAGCAGATACTAGGAAATGTCTTGCCCACAGAACTGTTTTTTTTAATGAATTTTATCTTATTTTGATCAAAGGCATACTGTGAAAAATGAAATTTTACATAAACTTATTATTTTATGAGTCTCTACAATCCTAAATACTGAAGACCTCATGACATGATCTTTAACTCGACATGAAAATTTTCGCCCCCATCCCTTACATATCACATACAAATGCACATATATGCACACATTTGATGAAAAAAAGAAAGCTTAATAAAAAGTCTCCAGTCATCTGTTTAGCACGATGTTTAATATAATGCCAAAGTAATAAAATGGAGCACAAGAACTCATTAAACAGAGACACCAACACACACTGAAACAGACGGATAAAATGAATTTTATACAATCCTTTTGCTTTTTAGTCAGAGATGTCTTTTCCTTCATTCTGTCTTCATCAACTTTCAATGTCCTTTCAAATCTCATTGCAAATCCCAGGGAAACTCCTCTGTTCTTCCCAAGCTAGGCGGTGAGTATGCCTTTTACCACATGATCTTCCTCTGTTTACTGATATGTTGTTCTCACAGACTACTTAACTATCCTTGATTAAGTATGCTTAGACAATAAGCTGTTTTGTGACAGACATTGTCATTAGTTGACTTTTGTGTTTGCTTAGTGCTTTAAGTCCTCAAGGTGAATAAGGCAATCACAGATATAAAAAGTTCCTCATTTTTTTAAAGTTTTACAATAATTATTTTATAGTCTGCACTGTAATATATCTGAGAAGGAGTTGTTACTCCTCAGGGAACTCCATGGCTATATATATATATATATATATATATATATCACATTAAGGTAAATTCTATGAAATGACAGCTTTATACCACAGCATAAAACCATGACTCAAAAAAACCCACATCTTGATAGAGTCAGAAATACTGTATGTAATGCTGGTGGGAATTTTTATCTGGCAATAACAAATACAATGTATTCAGGAACTTGATTAGACATAACATATTGTCATTCATAAAACCAATACCCTCAGGGTGAATAGTGAGGGTCTGGCAAGATTCTTCTACATTTAGTAAACCTACGGTACACTCATGGTTCATCTTTTGTCTGCCTACATTCTTGTCCATCATTCCAGTGGCATGGTGACTGTAACAGATTTTTCTTTTTTTTTATTTCAGTGCAAGATGTCTGCCAAGACAATGTGCATTTAGATGTTTAGCGTGCAAATTATTTGAAAACCTTCCCCTTGTTCTGCAGAAGCTCTCTCCATTGAGACTTCATTGCCTCATTATTTCAAGTGCATCTCTTCTGGACAATATTTGATTTGCATAAGCCAGAAAAAAATAAAATTACCTGAATAGATCAGAGTCAAAAAGATAGATTTTACATATGCATGCAGTTGCCTGTGAGGAAGAATATATTCTACTGGGTACATGGAAAACCCATTGAGAACAGTTGTGAAGTCAAAATACACATGGCTCAAGACTGCAGCCATCTTAGTTTTGCAGCTGGCAAACAGTGGTATCAATGCAAATTTCCATATCAAGAACCAGAACACACATATGTATACACACGCGTTTACCTGACATGTATGATGTGGGTTTTAAATCATAGATTATAATCTCCAAAGGCAACTTTTATTTTTTGTGAAAGATACAGATCTTGAGACTTTCAGAGAAAATATGCATGAATTAAAGATTGGAGCTTAGGGTAAGGATGTACATTTGGCCAGTTCTGAATAAAATTGTGTAAAAAGATCAAATTAAACCTTTGTCAAGACTAAGTTTATATTTAAATTTTAGTATGGCCAGTCTTCGCGAACGAAGATTTTGGGAAAGGTCTTTTACCTTTCAAGCCTGCGCAATGGATTTTTTAGGTGAGATGCAGCATGCACTGAACTGAGCCCACCCTTTAATCCTAAGGTTCGTCTGCTGGGGCCAAGCAAGCTTGGACAATGGCAGTGAGGTCCTCAGGACACAGGTTTGTTTAGAGTGACCTTCTCTTAGATGGATGGCCTTACAGGGCTGACAAGCTCCATCTGCCCGGGGGAGTGTCCCTGACAGGGAATCGAACCCGGGCCGTGGCGGTGAGAGCGCCGCATCCTAACCGCTAGACCACCAGGGGTCCCCATTTAAATTTAAATTTTAACTGAATTGTGAAAAAACTACTAGTATGCCACATCCCTACCCACAGACTATTACACTTCCCTGATCTTTCCTTGAATCTCACCTGAAATCTCTCTTTATCATCAGTTTAGTTTGTTACTTGGGAAGAAAAGACTCCACAGATTTTTCCAGCATAGACAACTAAATGTGATTTTTTGTCCCATCCCTAAGAAAATGCCACAGGCATTGTACTAACTGGCCCACACTGGGTTACATGAACTTTTTTGATTTGTCTTGCCTTAAGATGTTATAACCTGGTTTTAACCCAGTTTTAACTCCTCATCTTTCTCTTTAAAACATAATATTAACATGAGGATTCAGAAGAACATTGGATATGCAAAAGTAACACAAGAGAAAAGTGGGTTAAACTAAAAAGATTTTTCTTTTAATTTGTTTCGGGTGTTTGTTGATTTTTTTCTTAATTTTTTACAGTTTTAACTGTGTTATTGAAGATGTTTTTCCTGAACTTATTTGAATGAAGTGTTGTAACTGGAAATCACCTGCATTTTTAGTATTATTGACTTTTTTATTTTGATTAGACTCTCAACACTTTAAGTAGACCAATAATGTTTTATTTTCTCCACAGATAAGCTGTTATCCCTCTCATCCAGAACTTGTTTGACACTTTGAATATTCCTTATGACAATTTGGTCAAATAACATACAGAAGGTTTCCCATCTTTGCCCTAATTAGACATGATAACCTGGATTTCCACAGTAAAAGGACTGTATCCCTATACATGTGTTGTGTGTAGGAAAATACTCTAAAATTATATTAGGCATAGATGCAGTAGCATGTAGAAAACAGTATAACAGCAAAGCAAAATACTGAAGTAACTGAGTTCAATTATAGACTCCTTGTATCTTCTTCTGGAAGCTGACCTAATTACTGCAACTCATAAAGGCCAGTATTTTAGATGCTGGATTTGTCTTCTTGCACAACTTTCTCCCTTGACAGAGAAACTATGCT